TTTGGTGTTTTTTGTTTAGTAGGTTTGTCCAACTCATTTGCACCCACGCCTAGCTGAGTTTCTTGAGGTTACTGCTAAGTAACTGGTATGGCGACAAGTATCAGTTATCTTTTTTATAAGTGTCAAATGTCCTTTATTTATTTATTTGTTATTGTTTATCATCTGAATCATTTGATACGACCCATGTTGGTCGTTTTGGTCAAGTATATCGGCGAAGGGATAATCATCAAGATTCAAGAAAGAATTTTTAAATGTTTTCCTTTTATTTAGCTTTCCTTTTAATTAGAATAGTAGTTTTTTTATTTAGTTTAGAATTCCTGTTTTTTAGGATCTGGTTTTGGATTATGATTAGGTTAATACGACTATATAATTAATGTTCTAGGGATAAATCACGTTTTATGCTAGAATAAAAGTCTTAGACGATTTGCTGGAGAATTCCCTATTTCTCGAACTACAGGAGGCCTAGTTAAGGTTCCTACCTGCGGGTTAGGATCTTGAACCTATTAATTGGTATCAGAGCTGCTACGGTTCTGGTGTCAACATGTCAAAAACAAATTCTGAGAAGATAGCTGGATTGGAGGCAGGTGTTGCAGCCCTAGAGCAGGATCTTACCAAGCTTCGAGAGGAAGCTAACCTCGCCAAGAAGGAGAATGCTGCACAATTCACAGAAGTCCTGCAAGCTATCAATAACTTGACGAAAACTGTCAAGGGGAAACTCATTCAAGAGGAGGAGAAGGACAAGGAAGATCCTGAATTTGAGCTCGAGTTTGGATCCTTCAAAAAGGGACCCAAGGACGATAAGAACAAGGGTGGGGGTCGACAAATGGGAGAATTTCGGAAGATTAGAGCTCCTATTTTCGAAGGGGAAGACGCGTTTGGATGGATTTATAAGGTGGAGCGTTTCTTTGAGATCCAAGACATTGGAGTACGTGATCGTTTGAAGGCAGCAGCGATTTGCTTGGACGGCAAGGCGCTGGCTTGGTTTTCTTGGAGTCAAGCAAGGGACCCATTTCGCTCTTGGGAGGATTTAAAAGAACGGTTGTTGGAACGATTCCAGTTAACAGGTGAAGGTAATATCTATCATCAGTTTCTCACCATCCGACAAGAAGGAACTGTACGTGACTACGTAAGCAATTTTGAGAGACTGTCATGTCAGTTGGGAGACATACCAGAAAGCGTGTTGGAAGGTACCTTCATTAATGGTCTCAAGGATGACACACGTTCGGCCGTTCGTATTTTACAGCCAGCAAACTTGGCCAGAGCCATGACTCTTGCTGTTATGATAGATGAAAACAAGTTCAGTATTGGCACACCCAAGACTAGTGGAGGGGTAGTTCGGTCCAACAACAGCGGGTCTAGTCGACCAGGTGGAGCTTCTACCAACATGGGTTGTATCATCATCTAGTATTTTTTGATGTTATTTTTGAAGGGCTTAATGAGTCACTTTAAATAGTGCAATCACCCTGTGTAGACATGCATGAGTTTGTCCTCAGCTTGTATCACCTCACACGGAGCATTTCATGCAAGCATGGCATATTGCTTTAGCCATGTAAGTCCCAAAATTTTTACAACTTCAACCTCATTTCCTTTTTCTTAGAATTTTTACTTAAAACAGCATTTGACAATACTTAAATTTCTTAATGTCAACAAAATTCGGGATGATATTCAAAAGGAGGATGCTTTTCGAGGTCTCTATGCAATGGTATGCATCTTCTTTTGTTTGGTTTAGACTTTTGATTTGATTTGAAGCAGAAACTTACTTATGTTTTTTTGGTTTGCAGGTGAAAGTGAACACATCAGTGGATATAAGTTCACTTGTTTTCTTATGTAGAGCCATTTCTAGTTGGCATGTAAGTTTTTCATTTCAACTATTCTTCAACACACACACACATAGTATATATACATGTGTCAACACCATTTCAGCATGCACACCTGATTTTTAGAGGCTAGTCAATAGTCATGGTCTGGGGTAAAATTGAAGAAATCAAGTAAACACACAGTATATATACACGTGTCAAAATAGAAGCTTTTCTGAATTCCATTTTGTTTTCAGTAAGTGTTCCAGTTTTATCAGAAAACACATAACAAATTTGACCTAAATCTTCATTTATACTTAAGGATCTGCATTGAAACCTTGAGTTTGTACTGCTATCATACATGTGTTTGTCTTCTATCATGAAATAATATTGACCTAATCGAACCAATTCCATGGTGATGTATAAAGATATCAGAATCATGATCTGAAACACAATAACAGAACTCAAAAACGCAAAAAAACGTCTCCATTGGAATCCCATAGTATTTATACGGTTTTCCTGGAAACTTTCCCTTTATAAGATAGCTCTTTCTGTAATAAGGAATCGTATCAATTGCATCCTGATGACTCATCAGCCATAAACACATCCCAATAGCAACAACAAGACACAATATGAATAGAAAAACAGATAACCAGATAGTTTCTGAGTTCATTGCTTGTTCAAGTCTGCTTCTTTTTGAAGGGGAAATTGCACTATTTAGCATAGCTTTTGTCTCTTGTCCAGCATACACAACAACACCTATAACCTATTTTGTGTTTTTCATCTGACACCGACGTAAGATAATGTTTGATTGACTAAGGGAAACTTTATGACCATTTAACTCTATTAGCTGTGAACTCATATATGTTTCTATTAGGTTGTTCACATCTAATTACCCCTGATATTGACCCTAATGGCATTAAGGATGTTTCTTGTCTAGCATAACGTGTCTTTAAATTTGACTCTCCATCTAAATTCATGGTTTGTATGTAAGCAATGCCACTAGGATCACTTATCCACATTAGCACCATGTCACAAGGGATTGTCAAAAGAGATTCTTTGTTGTTCTCATTTCTGTCTGATCTGTGTCTTCTCCAATCCTCGTATCCATCTTTTATAGCAGTTACTGTGAGAATAAAAAGGAGAGGGAAGAGAGAGACTGTTCTTCCAAAGACTACAAGAGGAGGAAGCTGATTGAGAGTTGCAATGGCTAAAAAGTATATGTAAGCCACTTGATGAAACTGAATGAAGAGATTCTTGGGTTGGAAGTTTATAAGTGTGTATTTGCTAGTGGTCATCTTGTTTCCTGTTGAAAGTGGGTTGGTCTCCAAATGGCGGCCTAAGGACCAGGTAATCTCACTACAAATAAAACGACATTTAGTGGCACAGAAAAAGTGTCACTAAAAACCGAAAAAGTGCCACTAAATCCCCCCTGGATAATCAGCGGCACAAAAAAAGTGTCACTAAAAACGCTACCACTAAAGGCCTTTAGTGGCAATTTTTCGTTGTGCCACTGCAACTTTATTGAGCTTTAATGGCACTTTTCTATTATGCCACTAAAATATTTGTAGGATTTAGTGGCACTATTTTGATGCCACTATTTTACTCTAAAATTAAATATTATTTCTATGCTTTTTATGGAATTTTTTAACACAATTATATTAACAAATTAGGTCTCAATTTTTTTAATTTTAAAGGTAATATAAAATAATAATAAGAGAACTTAGATAATGAATGAAATCATAATACCATTAAGTAAATTCAAACTTGTCTAACAAAAATACTATCAATAACTAATTTATAATACAAATGTCTTCAAAAAGATTTAATAAATATAAATGTTGTACTAATACTAACAACATAATACTATCGAACTAAAACTTTTTAGGGAATAAACACAAAACTTGATTCACATCTCTTCTTTTGTTTCTGAATGATACCTACATAACAAATGAATAAAATTAGATCAATAAGACTTTTGAATAAAAACAAGACATGCAAAATTAATAAAATGCTTACCACCCTTCCATAGCTTGTTAAAGAGGGCTCTAAGGGTATAAAGCATGTAATATGATTACAATAGAAGAATAAGGCTTGAAAGCTATAAGGTATCAATTCCTTCCAAACCAGCAATAGTAGTGAATTTTTTGGTCTTCACTAAATTTAGCTACATTTTTTATGGGACAAATGACACATTGCCAGCCAACTTGGAATTCCATCATCGAAATGTAATATCATCCAAATCTAGGTAGATATTTCATCCAAAAATAAAATAAAAAAAGAAACCTAAACACTTACTTATTTGGCACCTCAAGCTTCTTTGTCTTATTTATTTCCAGAATAGATGATATCAACTTTTAGACAATAAGCACTTCTAGTTTCTAACAAATGAAATACATTTAATTAAATCAGATCAATCAAATAAAATTCAATATAATGCATTTATACTATTATGTTACACAAAGTGGTGATGCATAACTAAAGCAATCATCTCTTAGAAGTGTATGAGATTCAACTTGAAGTTGGTCAAATTGAGCTCTTCTTTCCTGTAAATCCAAGAATAAACAATTTATCAACAAATATAATTAGAAACAACTCAATGACAATTAAGCAATTTTGTTTTTAAGTTATTTTATTCTTTTAAAATTAAAATTCATAACTCATAATTAACCTGATAATGTAACCAAAATGTATCCAAAAATGGAATCACGTAGGAGAGATATATCTTTGCTTCCCTTCTTTTGCTACAGGTTTAGACTTTTGGATCCTCATTGGAATTCATGAATCTTTTTTTCATGTTTTTCTTCTCACTCAACACGTCTACATTTAGTTCCTCCTCCCCATCTTCCCTGATTTTCATATTTCTAGTCTCTAATTCCTTTCCCATTGTTGGACCAGTGCCTCAGAAAACTTCTTGTATAAGTCGCTCAGTCATTTGTATGTGAATGTTACCAACCTACCTGCATTTGAAATATAATTTTAGCTAAAGATTCTTCTAGTTATGAATAAGGCAATAAAAATACAAGCATCTTTTGCTTCATATGTATACTGGTTATAAACTTTAGGATTCGTGACAGAAAAGCAAATATCATGGGTATATATGTGCAATGAATGAGTAAAACATTATATAATAGCAAAAAAATTAAACTCATAGTGGTATTCGTTTCAGGAATTTACCATTCTATATTTTGGCATGATATCATTATGAAGCTGGATAACCATGAAAAATGGTTTTTTAAATGATCAAAAATAGTATAATAATCATTTAGAAAATAGGATGCTATGAATGAAAATCTGTTTGTTTGCATTGTATTGTTAGGGCATACCGTGCATTGAATATTCTCAACTGGATTTGTTGGTATCTCACACAGCCCCATTTCAATGGATGGATATGTAAGTTAAAGTTTTTCTCTTATTCTTATTGTCTATACATGTATTTCATTTGACTTTTTTGTTTGTTTGTTTGTTTGTTTTCAGCCTGTTTCTCTAGCTTAATACAAACAGCTCTTTATGCTGATTTCTTCTACTATTACTTCATAAGGTACTCAACCTCCATTCCCATTCTTTATGTTCTGTCTTTTACTTTAAGCATAATCATAATAACACAGGCTTTATGAGGAAGGGCATTTACGTCTTTACTCTTCGCCTGGGTGGCAGTGGGACAAAATTTGCAATTTTCCAGATTGAATAAGACTACTACTAAATTACATGACCATGACCATGACCATGACCATTTAATACTTGCTTTCAATAAACCAAGTTTCATAATATTTATTCAGATCAAATGAATATTTTTAGGAAGAAAGACAAATAGGTGAAAAGTTAATAAGTCTAAGACATGATTTTTGGTTATTATTCTTTCTCATTCTATACATAATAACTTCTTAGCACATTCCTCTTCCTTAGCTTATTATTAGCTAAACCTAATCAAATACAATAGTTTCTTATTCTCATCTCATGTGTATGTGTACGTACAATTGGAAAATCAATTCCAAGCTTCAATTTCTAGCATGAGCATCACCTACCTGGCTTGGCGTTTGAAGCTTCAATTACCAGCATGAGCATCACCAAGCTCCAATTCCCTTTTTTACCCTTCACTTGCAGGTTGATGATTTGTCAAGAATGTTCATACTATTTTCCAAAAATACCCCATGGATTGGATCCTGTCTCTTGTATGTTTAAAAAGGTTTTGTGATTTAGGAGTTGGATTCTATTTTTTTTTTAAAGTAGCATGCAGTTATTTGTATTTGTTGTCATTTGTTTTTATCTTTTTGACGCAATGCAGCATGTTGCTGCTGAAGGCACAACCTTGGTCAAACAGGCAGAAGATGCTGCAAGTAATAACAGATTGCAGGTTGATCCTGGTACATGGCCAATAATGATCTTTAGGGTCTGCTAGAAGGATTGGAGATTGCAGTTAAGATTCTATCTAAGACTTTACGCCAAGGACTTGATGAATTTAAGCTAGCAATGTTTTACTTGATTTGGACATGAACCCTAAGATATCATATTTTGGCATGGCTAGAAGCTTTGGAGGAAACGAGACTCAAGCAAAAGTAAACACACAAAGAGTTGTTGGCACATAGTAAGCTAGATAATGCACTTGTATATAAATGAGCTCATTTTTTTTATAACATTTACTCACTATTGGAATAATTATTTGTATTTGACATACTAGAGAAATGAATTATCTTTGTTATTTATGGTATTTTATTTTGTATTATGATATTTTTAATGTATTATTTAATTTGACAATTAGTAAATCTATAAATAATACTTTTTTTAAACATTTAAAATTATGATACGCAAAAATGTGTGTCATCTTCATTTATGACTTGGCCTTTCTTGACAGGGGCTTTCTTGATACGCATTGCGTGTCATTAACACGTGCGTCGTAAGGTTACGACACGTGAACGCGTGTCGTCTTCCTTTATGATAGGGCCTTCCTTGATACGCATCGCGTGTCGTAAATGCGCGTCGTAAATGAGCGTCGTAAATGCGCGTTGTCTATAGACGACGCGCAAAAGTGTGTCGTCTTCCTTTATGACAGGGCCTTCCTTGACGCGCATTTGCGCGTCGTCTGAGCCTTTTACGACGCGCAATGAGCGTCATAAAAGGCTGTTTTTCTAGTAGTGCAATGCCCTTTCTCATGGTAATAGTAGCACTCTGCATGCTTTGGGTTAGATGTGGGTGCAGTGGGACCAGTCTTGGTTTCACTAGTTATTCTTCTTACCCTTCCCCTTCCCAATAGCCAAGACGGGGGTAATTGATGCAACAGTTTTATCCTTGAGGTTTCTCTCAGTAGTCCTTAACAAGCCTTGAAGCTTGCTTAAGCTGACCTCCTTTTTTTTCATGTGGTAGGTCATGCGAAACTGGAGGAAGTAGGGTGGAAGCAAATGAAGAATGATATCAATCGCCAGGTCTTCATCTAAGTTAACATTTAACTCTAGCAGGCGGTCGACATACCTCTGCATTTTCTGCAGATGAGCAGTGATAGACTCTCCGTCACTCTTCTTGGTCGTGATCATCGAAGTGATGATCTCGTACCTCTCCTGCCTTGCACTTTGGTGTTACCGGTCCAGCAAATCTTGATGCATCTCATACAGATAGTAGTCTTTGTAGGACTTCTGGAGTTTTGCAGTCATTGTTGCGAACATGATGCAATGGACTTTTGTAGCATCTTGCTCGTGGGCCTCGAAGGCAACAATCTCCTCAGGAGTAGCAGTGTTTACGTTCACCTCCTTCAGCTCCTTGTCGAGGACATACTCCTTGTCCTCGTAGCGGGTAACCATTTGGATGTTGCAGATCCAATCATTAATATTGGTCCCATCGAAGATTACCCTCCCATACAAGTTCATGAGTGAGAACGAGCCGGATGAGGTTGAGCCTGAAGCGTTGTTGTTGTTCGAGTTCGACATCTAAAAAGGAAAAGTGACAAAGTTGATTAGATAAGAATCCCCAATTAAACACCCAAATGAGAAATTAGGGCTAGGATCCAACAACATTATTTGCAACTTAAAAGAGCGATGCCATAATTTAAATTGTAAATAATTTGAAGGTAAGTGAATGACGATTCACTAATTTCCAGCATGAAAAACAAAAGTAATTAAGTTTTAATTGTATTGAAACTCCTAGATCTTTTAAGATTCATTGAACTTTTCAATGACATGTTTAAATCTTGATATGCCCTGTAAGTTTGTGACTGTGATACCGAGGATCACAAACAAGGTGTGAATAACCATGGGAATGTACTTGGTGCCCTCGATGTTATAGTCACCTAATCAATTAGCCAGTTAACCACACACGCTCCATTGATCTATGACAAATAATGAGTCACCCTTTGCCACCTTTGCTTAGAGCCAAATTAGTGTGTCGGTTAACCACACACGTGTGACAATAGTCAAATTCGGGTCAAGTTAAAGTCAAACAAAGTCAATAAGTTAAACCGAACGACTCAATTAGCCCTTGCGTATTAGGGATTACGTTGTGTATTTACTAAACAATCCGCTATTTTAATGAGAAAGCATCATTTGAAAAATCAATGTGATTAAATTTTTCCTAAGCTTTAAATGCGGTAAACAATGAACCAAAGCGATAAATCACTAATGCACACTCATCGGGAGTGTGTAAGACACTAAAACATGGCTTAATGGGGTTTACGGACCTTGCATTGTGAAGCCGAACACTTAAAAAGGTCATAAACGAAACCTCTCTCAATCGTTTTCACTCTATCTCTTTCTATTTCAAATCTCTCCCAAATCTCTCTCAATGATTCCCGTAACTTTTTGAAGTCATTTGGGTCATTCCGACCCTTAACCGGGTCAAAAATCGCTTAAAATGGAGTTAAAACGGGTAAAATACCTTAAAAGACCCGAAACCCTTTATGTGGGGCCGAAGCCTCTTAGGGACCAAAACCAAGAGGACCGAACACCTCTGCTGAACCGAAAGCCTTCTCGGAACCGAAACCCCCCTCTCAGGACCGAACTTCGCAGACCGAACCCCCCCCCCCTTTCGGGCCCAAACCTCGCACAAGCCCGAACCCGAAGTTCCTGTTCATTTCGGTCCATTTCGCTCCTGCTCGCCTCTCGGTTCATTTCGCTCCCTCGGTCTATTTCGCTTCTGACGCTTTCGCACCGAACTGCCTTTCGCTTCTTGATGTTTCGCTTCAATTCGCCTCTCGCCCAGCCTCAGGAGGACCGAACCTCCGGCCAGGACCGAGAGGTCTCACTGGAAGATCAATTCTTTCCAGTTTTCGACTACAACTTCATTTTAGCTTCGTTTTTCATCATTTTAACGCGGGATTTTCACCCAAAACTTTATTTTAACATATAAGACCTCTTAATTAATGATTAATCACATTTTTAAGGATAAAACCTTATCCAAGAAGAGTGGGTGAAGTACAAAGGTTGAGCGTTGACTTTTCTTTGTATTATGACACAAGCAACCACCATACCCACTCCATGACTAACCCACACTCCTCCCCACCATAAATTGTCACTTCCTTGCCCTTTTTACTTCTCTCACAAGTCATTCCCATGTTTTTAGAGTTGGATATTCATCCTCTCTCCTCATATTCTTTCACTTGCTCTCATTTCACCAAAAATACAACACAACTTTTCTCTCAAACTTTTTCTCTCTATTTCAAGACTCCAAGGCTGATCTTCAAGCTTTATTCTTCTCTTGGTAAGTATAATTCATCCTCCTTGTGATTATTACACTTAATTCTACTCAAATCATTTATTGCTTACGCAAACTCCATCACTTTGATGTTAGATTCTCGAAAATCTTCAAGGCATCTTCAAGTGTTATTGAGTTGATCACTTCAATTTTTCAACAATCATCTACTAAAATCACATAAGTTGAGTTCATACCCCTACATTTTCATATTTTCTTATGTTTTAATGGGGATAATACAAGTTAAATCATCAATAACACAACTAAATATTTCTAACAGCTTACATCAGAAAAGTTGGACTCCATTCACGGACTATTTTGGTTAACTAAAACATTTTTGTTTTCAAAACTATACAAGATGCAAGTATTTCAAGTTCTCAGCTTTAAAATGACTACTTGCACATCTCCACATGATTTTTCTACAATTTATGGTGATTTTTATAAAACTGTCGATCATTCTAAACATCAATCCGGACCAGTCTGTGATTATGGACTTGTTCACACAAGTTAGAGGTCACTAAAAATCATGGAAAATTTATGAACAAGCTAGACTTATTTTCCAAACTCTCAGAATTTACGGAATCTGATTTGGACATTTGATATTTTTTCTACAAATTTTCTAAGAACAGTTACAGAAAATGTTATCAACAGAAAAATACTACCAATTTCATTTCACCTTGTAACATGTTGAGCAAGGTGTATATCTTTATGTGATTATGTGTAAATGCAATATATGACACTTTGTCTTAGTATATATATACATCAGTTAACAAATGGATTTTTGCTAGATAAAGCATAGAAATAACAATGTGTTATAATCAAAGTACATCCATTACATACAAACGTTTGAATAAACTATAATAGGTATAGTTTATGTACATTACTACTAATACCCTTGTTTTGATAAACTATAATGGGTATTGTTTATGATACATTACACAATATATATATATATATATATATATATATATATATTTTAAAAGGGTACATTTATACAAAAGGGAACTTTCATTACGTTACATGTAAATTCGTTTAAGACTTTGTGGGACGTTCGCTTCACACTTACCATTAAGTCTTGTATTGTAACCAGAGTCTCCTGGAGGGAGAGTCTAATACTTGTATATAGATCTATATTGGGTTTGACAAACCCACACCTTAACTGCATGCAACAGTTAGACCGGTAGGTCTGGGGTGACAAATGTCATAAACATTTTCGACGCTTGAAGAACGTCGTTTCAGGCCAACTAGGTCATAACATGGTTATAATAAACTCATAGAAAGTATTAACAAACATAAAAATTTATGGTAATTTCATTTAATTCAAACGCGTTTATGTCGATTTAAACACATATCATTTTCTATTAGTAAGAGAGGCTTTATTTATACATTTTGGTCTTCGGTTATAAGACTACATTACACAAATTTTAAGGAAAATATCGGATTTTTCTGAAACAAACGTTACATTTACAAGAGAAAGACTTTTATCAAGTTTGAAAACAAAAGCTTATGAACTCACCAACCTTTGTGTTGACACTTTTTCAAACAACTTGTATTCTCAGGAAATCACTAAACAGGTACCAAAGTGCATTTTGAGGATGGGACGTTAAGGTGTCAACATATCATGTTTTTGTTAACATATTGTAATTGATTTGGAAACATGTAACTCATACAATGATGTAACTCTTTCAATTATATATATATGTTGATGGTGTTTGCTTAAATTACTATTGCAATTGTGGTTATGATACTATACATGAAGTCCTCCACCCCCGGACGTTTCCGCCATCCTTGGTTTGGGGGTATGACAACACGTTCCACTAACGTCTTAGCAAGGGTACAAAGTGTAATTCTATGGAATAGCATCAAATTCGCATTTTTCCTAAAGTAACTAAGATTGTGAATTTTATAAAAA